GTATCACAGCATGAATCTGGAGTACATCCTGATGATGTCGTGGATAATTGGGAATTACAAACTAATTTGACTATCATCCTAACAAAAACATAATTAGAAAGGAAATCCTTTGCTACTCACTTCCAAATCATGGTGTATTTCAAAGCCCAAGTGATTTATAAAATTACTCGCTATTTCATTTTGCTGTCTTCTTCCATTTGCACGTTTAAAGAATGCATTTTCCAAGAAATATCATTTTATGAGAACGTATAATAAATTCATCGATTTACATTTTGGAATGGTTTCTCAATGTGGTGCTAAACAATGTTTTATTGTTTTCCTGATTTTTCCCTAAAGCGATTACCAATGTTAAAACTTGGGCACTAGATCGAGAAGTATTCCAGAATATAATGAGGAGAACAGCCCAAGCTAGAGATGAACAGTACAGAAATTTCCTCAGAAGGTAAGAATGACGCATTGGGGAGAGTACAGATGGTGGGGTAGCCATATTGTGGATATGTTGGCTTTATTAGAATAATTATTTTACTACAGCTTCTTCTATTTAAGCACTTTCCACATAATTGAACCAAAGGAATGGAAGTATTCCCTTTCAGTAAATACCATTATATATCAAAAGTTATATTTAATTCTCATTAGCCTTGTGCACTGATTTGTTTCTCTCACTAATTTTTGCCCTTGTATTCATGAAGTCATAGTGTATAGTATAGAAAAATGTGCAACAAACCTCAAATATTCTCTGGGTTGCTCAGTTGGCTTTGAAAGACATTTGGAATTTGAAAATGGTTAGCAAAAAGATAACCTTTTTAATAACGCTTTGCTTAGAATATTAAAAATAATTTTTACTATCCTTTCTTGCTTTACCTAAGACGTTCTTTTTCTTATTTGCATAGCCACACCATCTTCCAAATTACTATTATTTGTAGCAAATTGACTTGCTAAAAATGTTACTATACTTGTCATGATGACAGGGATCCTTGGAATATACTCATTTGGGGAGCTATTCTGCCCCTTGACAACTTGGATGCATCAGTTTATAAGGGAAAAAATGTCTATGTAAATGAAAAAGCCAGTCCCACATTAAAAATTTGTTTCAAGACTGTAAGTTCTTTATTTAAACTATTCCTGTATCTTTAGTGGGAGTTTTAAA